AACGTAATTCGTAGCATGCCTGCCTGCACACCAGCCAGACACACCTCTTCCTTTCTTTTCGGTTGATTCGTTGGAATTGTTACTATTTACACGATATGTAATATATACGTGGCATACATTCGCGGCAGTTTGAAACGAAAGCTCGCGAGACAGAAAATACGACGGGACTTGTCAATCTTTTTTCCCTTTCTCGCAAACATGAAAAATAAACTATTCAAACAATTTCCGACAGATGGAACATTTTCTGTTGTATTATAGAGTCGAAAACTTTAAAGTTTACTTCACCCAGCGGGTCTCAGCTTGCATATCTATCAGAAACTTTTATTTATAACAATCTTTCCAGTCTAGTCTCTCGATGAGTTGTGTTTTCAATTAGTCAACGACGGATTCATTCGGACAACGATGTAACGATGTATCACGATGTATGTACGTATATATTACATATCTACACGCGTGTTATACGTCTTTACTTTTCTGTGAGTATATTTTCCGTTGGTACTTTATACTCTCGGCGCCACTGCTGACTGTCCTACGTTTGTTTCGTTTTGACGACGGAAGAAAAGTAGTCAAGATCGACTCTACTTCTCGATCACGGACGACCAAACGACGTCGCGCAACGTTTTCGTCGGGCGACTCTCGTGTAACGGCGATCTATACAGCGAGACTCCATTTCTTTTTCCTCTCACGGATCACACGCACACTTTTCCGGCTGTTGTCGTTGAATCGTTCGGCGAGGCTCTCGATGTCTCGAAAGCTCTCACTCCCGGATATTTATCACCGACGACAGTGCTCGTGCACTTTCACTCGCGTATCGATTAATCGAACATACCTTTGCAATTACATTTAGCCACCAATAAGGGTTTTATCGTCGCGTTATATCTGGAGAAATAGGAGACTGTTCTTCTTTACAATTTTCGCTTTCAACAATTTATTGATTTAGGATTCTCGTATTGATAGATAGATCACATTTCCCGATCTATCTGGATTAATTGCAATACATAGGATGTTTATAAAATTTTGTCGTGGACTAGGAGTACAACGGTCCTAAAACATCTTCCAATCGATCGAAATTGATTTTCCTCGTTGTACTTGTCGCATCTTATTATCGATACGTGTCGATACGTTTGGGAACCTAACCGCGCGTTTCTTGCGCATCGGACGCCAATGCGGCTCCCACGTTGCCTCGTAAAATCGCAATATCTATGGGCGCCTTCCCGAGATCTCACGGGCTTATACGTTCACATTTACGAAGGGTCGTTCGAGGAAGAGTGCCGCGTGATTTGAATTTTGGATACGTCGGGCAACCAGTACATCGCGTTAGCCTATAAGGGCGAGCTGCATGTTACATAGCGCTTCTCGTGTATCTCGACATGTAAACGCCGTCGGTGATGCATATTTTAGAGGCTCCGCGGAATAAGCCTCTCTCGAACGGCTCCTTTGGTCCTGCAACGATGGTAGGCTGAAATCGTGAAATATTACGTGTGTGCGCTTCCTCCATCGAGCCCACGATGAGCGTTGTGCTCGAACCGGCCGGTGGTATCGACGCGAAATTTGACGAATATTCTCCATTCGAACGCGCCCGCACATCTCCATTTCGACAAAATGTCCACGTTGACGTTGAAGTGTTAAATCCGTCGGGAGTGACAAGTTATTAGCCACGGAGAGTTCATCGAAGAATTCATAACTCGAAGTGGCCCATCAATCGGTAGTCGAATAGTCGAACGAGCGCCGATAATGCCAGGAGCCATGCCTCAATTATTCAAAGTTAACACATGAATAACCAGCAGCGATCCAGCACCTTGCTATCGTCGATTCGCCTTACGCTAAAACGCCGAATGAACAGCATAAAGTGACATTCGTGAATATTCATTCGCGCACCGGCAGATCCAATCTCCGGCTTTCGATAGCGCATTGGGAAAAGTCGCCGTCTCTCCTCGTCCAAGTTTTTGACGTGTCGGAGATAATAGGACTTCTCGCCGGGAGAAATGCTTCGCGCGATTTTCACAAGATTGCGCGAGAAATGATGAACGGCACATCTTCGTCGAGCTCTCTTATAATCAGAAGAGCCGAAGACCAAAGCGCTCCCACAGTTTCTAATCGACGACTTTTTTACTCCTAATTTTTCTCATCTCTCGCAAATCCTCCCACAGCGGTTGCTTGCTTCGTTTGCCTTTCCTTTTGTTCATCGTTTCGCTCCGATTTTCGATCAGGCTTTCCAAACACGACGGGCGTGTATAATTCTCGTCTTGTGTCCGAAACAATCGACGGGCTCGATAAAATCGGGCGGAACATCAAAGAGGGATATTAGAGAACCGTTTCGCCAATGTATCGACTCCGATTGTAAACTAGTTTCACAATGTGTGGAG